ACATAAGTGTTACCCAGTGCTTCCCTTTGACGTGTACTTGTCAGATCTTATATTTAATGCATAACAATAACAGTACAGAACAACAGATGAACTGAACACTTAACCCGAATAATGAACGCAATAACTGCAGGAAGTTTGTGTCAAACAAACGATTTGGATGAATTTTGAGCTGATTATTCACATCAGAGACAATTTAGGAACTTTGTATATCATTCTCTCTGTATTATGTGTTCTTTTTTATTTTTATTTTTTACAATTATAGATTTAGAAATAACTAGATACACTACTGTATACATATTAAAAAAGTTAACCCTTAAAACCAAACCCCCATGAAGCTTTGGCAACCCCTAGTGGGGGTCAGGACCCCTGGATTGTGTGCTAGATACTCATCTTAAACCCCCTTCAGACATGCACCTCTTTACAATAATCTGACTACAATTTAACATGTCGGTATCATGTTTGAATAAGCACTTGAACTTAAGTCATGACGGCAATCTTACGTACCTTCTCAGATCAGATCAGAATATAAAAAACGTTTTTCCCTTTGTAGTGACTTACAATAATAATCTGTCTGTAATTTTTCATGAATTTCCAATGTTTCTTCATTCCAACTAAGTGGATGAATATGTGATAGCCATGCTTTACATGAAGCACACTCTCTAATAACGTTAAATGATGAAACTGACAGGAAAATGTATCAGCGGATTCCCAGTGTAATGGCAGATGTTGGTTAGGTCTTGGTATAAGAGCAAAATGCTAAATAGTGGACTGCAGTGAAAAAGGCTGGGCTAAAGTTGTCTGAGCATTTGCCCTCTTTGGCTGAGCTGCCCCTCTGGAGGAAAAGAAACAGTTTTTTTGCTGTAGTGGCATAAATAAGTAGAAGCCAATAATTGCTATACATTTGACACATTTGCATCACGTTGCTCAATATTTCTTTACATCTGGGATCTCAAACTGCCGGCCCAGGGTCCATTTCCGGCCCTCCATCCCCCTCCCTCCGGCCCACGACAGGATGCTGGTCAAAAGATCATTATTTTTTTGTATTTTGTAAGGTCAGAAAGGTAAGAAGACATTAGTTGTTTTTTGTTAAGTAGGATGTTCGTGATGGAAATATTTTCAGATTATTGTGCTTTCTTGCAGTACTTAAACGTTAAATGTTAAGCAACATCAAGAAACTACATCTACAATAATGTGTTAACTTACAGTGTGCAGTAATTTACAAAATAGTTTTTTGGTTAATTAAATTACCATATTTTACATAATTGCAGTACATTGTGATCGGTGACACCTAAAATCTGGGACGGGGTCTGTCTGTCTGTGCATGTCCCTGATAGTGATAGTTTTGTCAGATTGCTCTGAATCCGCTCACACACTCAGGTACTGATATTAGACTGTAGAACATACACGTCATCTGAATTTGACTCTCCAAATAAAAAGATTTTGAAGTTCATCTAAGAATAGTTGTTGCAGCCAGTGAGTCGCCAAAAGACGTTGATGATGAGGCTGCAGATAAGTTAATGCCAAAAACTGCGTCTCCACTTTCTGATTCAGACTGATCAGATAAACATGTTGCCTCGTGTACTTGCCTCCAACGCTTGAAAATGTTCACATCGGATAAAAATCTTCTCACTTTAACTCCCTGTCTCCGTTTCACTTGACACAAAGTTACCCGAGCATCTCGACAGTGGAGGAGTTTTATCTTTTTTTTTTGTGAGTTCTCCTCCTCGGCCAGTTGTCCCCGGGCCGCTGCAGTCTCTGCCCTTGTCTCCCATCCTGATATGTGCTGCTCGTACAGCTGAGGAAAGGAAGGGAGAGGGGGTAGAAGAGCCCAGCCAAGAGGCCCCGGGGCCACGGCCCTCTCTGGACCCCCAACCCCGGGTCACTGAGCACCTCGGGTCAGCCACTCAGCCTCCTTGTGAGGGAAATCGCCCGGCTACCGGATTGAGGAGGAGGCTCCCCCCGGTGTCTTGTGTAATCAACATTTAGAGAACAGCTGGAAGGAGAAGGAGGAGGAGGAGGAGGAGGAGAAGGGTGGTGTGTTTGTTGTGCACATGTGTGTTTTCTCACGTTGGATAGATCTGATCCGTCGAATGTGTGCTTTGGTGTGTACGTGTAAACGGCTACTACAGCGTTAACAAGTGTAGATATGAGCTTGTGAACTACATCATTTTGTGTGTGTGTGTGTGTGTGTGTGTGTGTGTGTGGTCGGTGTGTATTCCCTGCTGGCCCTCAGTGCTCAGAGCGGGTTCAGTGTCGGGGTCTTTGCCTGCAAATAAAACTCCTCCTCTGGGTGCCAACGTGCTCGTCTTTGGGTAGAAGTGTCAAAGCGAGGAATTTCAGATTTGCAGAAGAAACATACAAGTCGGTATGGTGGTATTTAGAGTTTGTAACTAGTATCAAAGAGTGACTGAAAGTTATATCAGCGATAATTAAATTGATAAATAACTATATTTGCTTGTAATTTATTAAAAAGGGCCATAGCAGGATTCTTTGAAACATTTGGCTCCTAACACACTGAAGTCACAGCGTTCAATAAAATAAAAGCAACAAGTGCAGAATCTCGCTTAAAAAATTAAGAAGAAACAGCGATTTCTCTAGATTATTTCATCCCACGATCTAAACATACACCCCTTAACCCCCTTCAACACCTCAAATTGAGATAAATATCAATGTAAGGAGCATAAGCATCATCTAAGGCCTCACTTCGTGTTACCTGTCAGTGACTCATCCCGTTCACATTTCTCCTCAACATCAATATACAGCCTAAAGTATAAATAGGTATTATTAGACTTTAGGTAGATGGGTTCATGTCCATAATGAATGTAGAGCAATAGCATTTAATGACACATGCTGTAGAATCTCTGATTTTTGATTATACCTTTCCTACATTTATGGCAGCCATTGATTTCCATTCATTGGCACACAGTATGAAAATCATTAAGAAGGCTCACTACATGCGATACCTGAACCGGGAACTGGCCCATGGAAATCATACCCGAACCAACCAGGCATTCGTTTAAGGATAATTAGACCAAATGCAGCCGATCCAAACAGACCCAAACAGCGAGTGAGCACCAACACTCTAACAGCAGCATGAGGCTCCACCATTAACAAGCAGCCATTAACGAGCAAATACTCTCCCGCCATGATTAAGATGTACCACCTGATCAGAGCTGATAGGAAGTCCACTTGGATCCTGTCAGGTATTAAGGCGTATTGACACACACACCCGAGACCAGTGGCAGGAAAACTGGACCCTCCCAGCCCAGATTAGACTGAATATGACTCCCGACATGGTCACTGCTACAGTCTTTTAATACTGTAACCGGTTTGAATACAGCCACTGACAACAGAGAGCTGACAGTTCCTATTTTGTTTCCGTCCCTGAAATAAAACCAAAGATGGAGCCAGATAACATTTTGCCATATGCATTGTTTGTTTTGGATCTATAAATACTGTAACCGCCTCGGGTACAGTGCTAATGCAAAAGACATCACTGTGTCGCACAACATTCAAATCGACCATCTGACTAATTACAGCAGCGTACGATCAAATCCGGCTCCGGAGAACCTGTGAAGACCCTGAACGTGGCCTCCAGGTCAGGAAGAGGAAGGAAGCAGCCTCTATTGTTGCTGCCAGAAATAATAATTTCAATAATTTTCTATAATTTCCAGCATCTAAACAGAGCAAACCAAGTCAGGAAACAAAGCAGAGGCCCGCCAAGCGCCGCCTCCACCTCCCACAGAAAACACACTCATGGAATCCTATGAGAGCCTCCCCACGGAAAGCGGCTGCCATCTAAAAACAGCCTCTGCAGCTGGCGGCCGCAGCGAGAGGCGTGCTTTCAGTGCTCGCGCCCGCAGTCGCAGTTTACTCCCGCTAAATGTATGGAATCAGGCTCTCGCTAAAAACTACAATTACAGGTGATATACAGATTGAAATCATAGGGGCCGCTTTTTTTGTTGAGGAAAATTGTCCTAATGAGCGGTTTGGCGATTCGTGGGGTGGAAGGGAGGGAGGTTGGTGCTGGTGCTGGAGGAGACTGTGAAAGTCTTTTCTCTTCAAGTGTATGTGCGTGTGTATATGTGTGTGTCGGGGAGGTGTTGGGGGGGCATAAACAGCTGCACCTGCTGCTGCGGCGCACACTGCCACAGTTAATGATATCGGATGATATCATTAGGCAAAGTGCTCATAAACAGATGTTGGAGGCGCTGCCTAAACAGTGTCAGCTGAGCCGGTTTGCATTTCTGTGAACATATTATTTATATAGGGCATTTAAGTTTGTTATGTTAATAACCCCTCTGTTAGCATGCAGGATGTGGCACAGGAAGAATTAAACTGCACTGCAGCAGAGAGTTAAACTGCACCTCAGAGCCTCAGTGAAACCTCTGAGGCTGATCAGAGGTGTGAAGAGCTGACATGAGTTTAGATGAGACTGAAGGCAGCAGGCAGGAGACGAGACAAACGCAGCTGAGTCTAATCCGAGATCCACCTGAACATGTTCTTATGGTGGAAATTAATTTCAATTAACCTTGATTTAACATGGAAATCATCTTATATTAACACACCTAGGCCAGATGAAAGTGAATACCCTGCTGGTTGTTCCAGAGTACTGCAGGTTTGGAAGTTTGCATTGAAGTAAGGTGAGCGGCTCATTTTATGAATGATCTAACACTTTACCAGTTAAAAGGTGCAAGAAATTAGTGGAAGGAATTTGTTTTTAAATGCAATGTTACATTATCTTAATCATGGCTAGCATTATGGTATTCCTTTAATGGTGGTTATATTGTTGTACAGTAATACAGAACTGTACAGCTAAATGTTCCTCATCTGTCTCCTTTATAAAACTTGATTAGGAAGTGCTGGTGCAGGAGCTCGAAACCCTTCAAACAAACAATACCTGTACATTAAACAACTAAGCAGTGGCAGGAAGGGAGACAAGGAGGAAGAAAAGTTGTAGAGCAAAGAGTCGAGTAAACATCCAAAACGAGCCCTCTTACCGTAACAGCATCTGGGTGTCAGCTGAACCTCGGGGAGCCGCACAGCGACAGGGAGCACGGATATCTGGTGCGAGTGGACGCGATGCACCTGCAGCTGCTGCAGTGATCTCTGATCTCTGGCTCTGTGGAAACATTAAAAAGAAATCAGACTGTTGGATTGTTAAAAAACTACAGAAATACACCAAAGTACTGTATTTTAGTACAAATAGCCCCATGGTAGCAGGGCTGGATCTAGAGGAAGATTCATGGGGTGGTCAGAGGGTGGTATGGGGACTTTAAGGAGTGAACAATCACATATATCAATATTTCTTTAAAAAAGACCCAAATTGAGATAAAAAACATTACATTATTGTGGCACTTCAGTAAAGCAGTGGATATTACTGACGGCGGCATTGGAAATCAATACATTGTTTGATTTACAAATCTTCAGATCTTTTTTAAAGCACGTGTCTTTTTCCATTCAACTTAAGCCTTTTGAGTCAGTCCGTCTATGAGTCTCCAACATGTTGAATTACATTAAATGAATGTGATGTAAGTGTGACAGCATTTGACCCCCCATGACCTCCCCTCTAGATCCACCCCTGCTTGGAAGAAACTCTGGTATTGCTTGCTTTTTGAACCAATAACCTTAGAAATTAACCTTCTAACTCTGGAATCCCTCTTGGGGATTTAAGACCTGAACCCTGGCAGGGTTCACGCAGTAGTCTGGGGAATTTAACCTGCATCTCTGAGTCAACAGCTAACAACATTTCACTGCAGAGTTAATCTTGTACACAGCAATTATTTTTCTAATTACTACCTGAAATAAAAAGCAAGAAAGCTGATGTGGCATCAGCTTAAACTTCATCCAACTCATCAGTTCAGTTAAAACTGTGTGTATATGAGTGAGTGTACATCACACTGATACTGGTACAGTGTGTATGTGACAGACAGAGGTAAAAGGACCACCTTGTTTTTATGAACATGAGTTGTTACTTTAAAGGTTTGCAAACAGCAGGGGAACCATAAACACCTCATTAAACTTCTCCTTCCTCTGTTCGAGGCATTTTTTAGACAAAAATTGTTATTTATTTATGCTTGTTATTTATTTATGCTTTATTGGTTTTATCTCTTCTCAGCCTGCCTCACAGCCTCCACCACCTACTGATAGACACCAGTGTGTGAGTGTGTGTGAGTGTGTGTGCAGGTGAGCTCACAGGTGCTGCTGGTTTCCTCACTCCACCTTTGAAGCACATCTCTGGGTTTGTTTTTAACTTTGGGCTTAGGGAGCTGTTTGAACAGAAATGGTGAATGGACGTGTGTTACACACCTTCACTGTGTTTGTGGTTCAGCCAGAACTGCCTAAAGCACCCACGGGACTTCACTGAAAGAAATCCACAAAAACAGTAGCTGTGAAAAATGTCCACCTTCTTCTTCTCTTCATTTTGAACTGGAAGTGGTAACCAACATTTGGGGTGCACTACCGCCACCTTCTGCTCCGGAGTGTGGACTGCAGACTAATTAATCCTCCTCTCTCTCACACCAGCTCCTTCTGCCAACAATTTCAATCTTCCTCAATTCTTCGACTTCCTAAAACGGCTTCAAGCTAAAAGCCATAATCCTTTGTCTTTACTGTAAGGCTTTTAATGTGAAGGATCTACAGGAAGTGTTTAAAAAAAAACATAGTTTAACCTTCTTGAGGAAAATTACAAGTGGTTTAGAAAGTAAATTAGGCATTATCACTGTAATTATTACTAACTCTAAAAAGTATTTACTGTATGTAGATATACTTTGAAAATATTGTATTGTACATTTTTATTATTGTTTGTGTTAAAGGTCCAGTGTGTAACATTTAGGAGGATCTATTGGCTGAAATTGAATAAAATATTCATATTTCATTAGTGTATAATCACCTGAAAATAAGAGTTGTTATGTTTTCTTTACCTTGGAATAAGCCGTGGGTCGCCTTCCATGAAGTCTGCCATGTTTCTACAGTAGCCCAGAACGGACAAACCAAACACTGGCTGCAGATAGGGGAGTGTTCCTGCCCAGTAGGTTTCTCCTTTGTGCTTGGAATAGGAGGGTGAAGCGAGGGAGTTGCAAACCGCAACCACACCGCTAGATGCCTAAATCCTACACACCGGACCTTTAAATGGAACAAATCTTCACTCTTTCTGTTACTGGCACAGTTTTCCACGACGGATGTTTGATACAGCAATAAAATGAAAATATATGATAACAAATTCAAGCAGGAAGTAGCAGGAAAAAACTCCAACAGGCTCAGCCCACCTTGGAGGAGGAGAGCATCAAGCCCCACTTTTAAACAGCACTCATACACGTGTTAACAGATTTATGTAAAAGGTTAACGTCCTTGTGTTATTCTGCTCAGGCGCTGCCATTTTACCCCCCTCCTCCTCCCCACCTCCCCACCTCCCTGGCTGGAAAAAAAAGGGGGAACAGGCGCCCATTTCCCTGCCACCATTATGCTCATTTGTCCTGTCAAGAGAATGACAGGCCGGTTGACTCTTCCCCAGATACGACCATTAGGTAACGCTCTGTCATCTGACAGCGAGGCATTCTGCCGATCCCTAAAAACCCCCTAATTATTTCCTTCGCCAGAGACAGGCGGTGGCGGGTAGGTAATTTTTAACCTTTCACGTGCACCTGGGGAACCCTCCTCCGGGGAGCCAAGGTGCCTGTGTGGCATTCAGTCATCAAAACATGACCTTTTATGGCCGTTCGGAGAGCAGTTGGCACCGGGTGCCACGCGCCGGCTAATGCTAATGTTGATGACTAATTTATGCATCAGCCGGCCGCATCTGCAGCAAGTTTAGGGTAGCAACAATGTGTGATAGAGCGGTGAGAGGGGAGAGGAAGGGAAAGAGAGGAGGGGGGCATCACCGCAGAGCAAGCAGAGGTGAAAGGCATTTTGGGGGAAGGGGTGGGGCTTTTGAGACACCCGGTAGCCTGGCACGACAGGGAATTGAGGGGGCTAATTATGTTGCAGAGAATACATTCGGCGTGACCAGCGAGCCTTTTTAGAATTTGTCGAGCGCAATCTGACTAACGTGGCTGACCTTTACTTTTTTTTTTGCCCAAATTGCGGGAGACCAGAGAGCATGCAAGATGTGTGCATATTCTATGACCTAATTGCCTTTTTTCTAAATGCTGTGCAGCACCTTTTCTCCCCAAGAACGTGGGATGCCACAAATCACATGTGCATTCTGAAGCTTACAGTAGACACAACAGCACATTTACAGTATGTTTACACTCACACACGTTACTACTGCCCCGCTGCTGGAGGCGCTTTTAGCCAGCTTGGCTTATTAAAAGAGGATGAAGAGCATTATCTTCATGAAAAGGCATTTGAACACTTTTACTACTTGCTTTATAGATCACTTAAAAGCCATTCATGAGAATAACTTTGGGCCTGCAAAATCATGAAAAATCCTATTTGCTTGTGTTTGTCCTTCAGCATGGCACTTGCTTCCACTTTTTAGCTCTTTCATAAGGATTATTATAAAATAATGTATTATTATTATTACCAAATATGAAAGATAATGGGGCTTGCTTGCAAACTGACAACCCAAAACGTGTCCTTTATTATTATTTATAAAGTAGTTTGACATTTTGGAAAAAAAATGCGATGAGATGAGAAGATTGATTCCACTCACAGCAAATATGAAGCTCCAGCCAGCAGACAATTAGCTTAGCTTAGCATAAAGACTGGAAACAAAGGGAAACAGCTACCCTGGCTCCCAACCAAAGGTAGCAAAACCCACCTACAAGCACCTTTAAAGATCACCAATTGACACTTTATGACCTATTTGTTTAATCCATACAAGTGGTGTCCCTCTGTTTCCAGTCTTTATGCTACCGGCTGTAGCTTCATATTTACTGTACAGACATGAAAGTGGTATCAAGTTTCTCATGCAACTCTGCAATAAAGTAAACAGGCATAAAATGCTGAACAATTTCAGGCATTAATTACTACCCATTAACCCTAATAGCTGCCTTATTCATTAAAAACAGACTGTGAGTTGTGCATTCAATGCTAATTAAAATTAAAAATCTGTCTCTGGATTAAAAGAAACAATACAGTATGAAGAAAGTAAACATGATTGCCCCTCATGATCACATTTTCCCTTTTTTTCATGTCCATAGCTGAAAATGTAGATGGGTGAGAAGGAGCGAACGCCTCCTGCGCTGTCAGCCTGAGAGCGATGGCGAAGGGGGTGACAGAGACATTTATGTGGGAGCATAAAATAAAAAAGGCCCGGCCTCAGGCTTTATGGTTAGCTGACAAAAACGCTGTATGTTTATAATCTTGACCAAATTCCAGTCCATAAATTGTTATTATCGTGAAGTGTTTCATCGAGCAGACAAATCGCGGTGTTGGGGTGAAGATGAGATGAATTTCACGCAGCAGGAGGAAAAAAGAATCAAGCTAATCAGATCAAAAAGTAAGTGATGGTGCTATTCTGCTTGAAAAACATAATTTGTATGAATCAGGCCGTATGTGCATTTGCAAACATGTCAGGTCTCGTCTGCTCTCTGCTTTTGTATATTCATTCTCAGCCAGAAAAAGAGAGGAAGATGCTGATGAACTCTTTGTTTAGACAAATCAGGAAATTACACTGTCTTATTTTGCCTGGAAAGCAGAATCTTTTTTTTCTCCCCCCCCTTCTGTTGCAGTTGTGTTTCTCAAGTTCTGCAGAAAGGTCATGGCAAAGTGTTTCCCTCGGAGCTACGTAGCGCAATAAAACACAAGTAAACACAAAGCAAGACGGATTCAAGCCGCCGTACGTTCGTGCAGCCATTAGTGATTTATACTCTGTTTCTAATCCCTTGCTCAGGCCGCCCTGCTGCCATTAAGCTTCGAAATTACATGTTCTATCAAGAGCAGCCGCTCTCACCTGAGTATTGGATTACTGAAATAAAATATGAATAATTAATACTGAGAAATAGGTTCCTGGCACCAGGAATGGCTGCAATTTAATAATGAGCATTATGTTTCTTGTGTTTTCTCTCCTTTTCTTTCTCTCCTCCTCCTCCTCCTCCTTCGGTGTCGTTTGATCTTCTCGGGTATCTCTACCAGGGGAGTCAGCGCATCCTCTTCTTCTTCGTTGGTTCTTCCTTGGCTGGGTTGACTCCCCTGGCCACTGGGGCGAGAGACCTTCCTCTCGCCTGTGTTCGTCATCCTTCCTCCTCCTCTTCTTCTTCATCTTGTTTTTTCTTTAATAAGCTGCCGTTAAATAAATTAGAAAATACCCACCCAGGGGTGATCAGACGGCCACAAACCCTTGTCATCTGTCTCCCGGCGCTGCCAGGCAAACGAGAGCAAGGGAGGGAAGGAGAGGAAGAGACGAGGACAGCCAGGATTTCTTCTTCTTCATCTTCTTTCTCTTCTCTGGCTTGGTATTCTGTCAGAGGTGAGAGGGAGGAAGAGCTAGAAGAACAGGCTCGTTTTCGCCCTGCCAGACAACCGAAGGCGATCCGCCATTTGCTGAAAAAAAAAAAAGCTTCCATACATCCATATTTATTTAATGCTGCGAGAGAATACATAAGGAGGAGAGGAAGGAAGGGAAGGAGACAGAGAAAAAAAACTTTGCTACATATGGAGTGCTTCTTACAACTAATCAGCAGACTGTTGGTGATTGGGGCCGCGGGCGCCAGGTTGGCTCCAACCAGAGTTAGCACAGTGCCCAGGTCTTTGCTGCAGGCTGCACAGGTTGGCCTCAACTCTGCTGGGGAGCAGATGGCGAGCCAAAGCTTGTAGTCACACTTACCTTCCCCACTAAATCCCTAATCCCTCCGTGGACGCTCCTCCAAGGCAGGTTTTTGGAGGCAGAAATAGGGGTTACAATCTGGACCGGCGCAGCGCCTGCCAAAACACTCACAACACAGAAATGCAAATTAACTTATTTGTGTTGTCCGCCGGCCAAGGCGCCGCTTCTTTTGCGAGTAATTAAGATACCTTGAAAAATATTTGTAAAAGATCAATAATTTGAAATGGACAAATAACAATGCAGAGAAAGAGAGAGTGGAAGAATAAGCGAGGGGTGTGGACACAGTGTTTTTTAAATTTTTGTTTTCAACACCCATCCCTCCTCTCCATCTGCACGCACCCATCAGCTCTATCACTCCCTCTTTCACCTCCAGATATGAGAAACTAGTCCCTCAGGTGTTGCCGACGTCGACCTTCTGAGGCGTTTGATTACCTCTAATAACTCAGCCATTACAGCCACTGAACCAGACTGGAAACAACCAACTGGACGTCGAACACATACAGAATTTCTGAAGGATGTCCCTTTAAAACCGGCAGCTTGAGGCCGTGCAAAAAAAAAAAAAAAAAAAACAGAAAAAGAAGAAGAAGAAAAAAAAACACAAGCGCCCCCTGAATCAGTAACTGTTAGAGGAGGCGTAGGAGCCTCGATGACACCTTTCAGCTGTGCTTGTTGGCTGGTGCTTAAGCTAAGCGCTAACACACACACACACACACACACACACACACACACACACACGCACACACACACACACACACACACTGTTATTAGCCTGGTGTCAGCAGCACTAAATGGGCTGCAGATGTTAATGCACTGTTTTAGATACAGTGGCAGGAAAAAGAGGCAGAGACGGACCCATTCAGACGCAGAATAACTAAATACAGAGAGAGAAACACATTCATTAGTGAAGAACACACGGTGGATAATAATTCAGAGGTGATGCTT